GCGTGCCAAACACGGCACGCTGCCAAGGTCCCGGCCCCCAGCCCCACTCAGCCCCCCCTGCCCACTGCTCTCCCCTGCCGGGGCAGGAGGCAGAAGCTTGGTCCTGCGGCAGCCAAGTTTCCCTCCTCCCCCGCTTCTTCCCACAGCTTGGTGCATTCCGGCCCCTCTTCCCCTCCTCCTCCCTCTCCTGCCCACGATGGCCCTTGCGAGGGGGAGGGGGAGCGGAGCAGAGCCGAGCGCAGCGTGCTCGCTGCTCTGTAGAGCAGGCAGAGAGAGGTAGGGACAGAGCCTGGGGAAAGGGGGTGGAACAGGGCATATCCCTTCCAGCCCCCTGCCATGAGCCACTCAGGGCAGGGGGCTGGGAGCACCCCCACGAGCCGAGCACCCCAGCCTTCTGCCCTGCACCCCCCCCACACACCCAGCCTTCTGCCCTGACCTCCCCACAACACCCAGCCTTCTGCCCTGCACCCCCAGCCTTCTCCCCTGACCTCCCCCCAACACCCAGCCTTCTGCCCTGCACCTCCACACACACCCAGCCCTCTGCCCTGACCTCGAGTCACCCCCAAAACCCAGCCTTCTGCCCTGCACCTCCACCCCCCCCCAGACTTATAGAGAGAGAGACCTTCTAAAAAACGTTAACATGTATTACCGGCACGCGAAACCTTAAATTAAAGTGAATAAATGAAGACTTGGCACACCACTTCTGAAAGGTTGCCTACCCTGTTTTAACTAATGGGGCTGTCATTATTTCCTTGGAAGACTATATCATATAGTATACACACGTTTTTTTTAAGATATTCATCTATTCCTCCCAGTTATACCCCCCTTTTCCATCTAAATAATTGCTCTCCATCCTGGGTATTTACACCCTCCAAATATTTGTAAACTCTTATTCTTCCCTCTTTTACACATTGATTTGCCAAACTAAACATTGTTTAATTGGCCACTCTAAAAATTTTGTACTGTTTTGAATGAGTCTACTATTTTTAATATAATTTCCCTCTTATAAACCTATTTCAGAGCCCACTGAAATCGATGGAGTCTTTCAATTGACTTCAATAGGCTTTGGATTAGTCTTTATATAGATAGGGAATGTATAGCTTAAAATGGTAGACACTTTCAAAATAGTAGAACTATGCCCACCATCATTTTTTGATTCTTTCCTCTAAAGGTACTCTTTTACTCTTTCTGGACCCAATTTGTGTACATTTTTCTGAACTGAAAACAATATTGTGCATAACAACAGTTTAGGAAGAAGTGAAGAAGAATATCACATTCAACTGATACTGAAGAGCGTATTTAGAGATGTAGGGTAAAAGTTTCAAAAGCACCTTGGTAACTAGCGACTTTGAAAATCAATGGGATTTAAGCTCTGAAGTACCTGTCACTTTTGAAAAATATACCCATGAACACTTTGAAAAATATACCCCTTACATGTGGGGTAAGACCTTCTACAGGGGTGTGATTGTTAAACCACACAAATGGGTCTGTGTAGATTCTGCTGGTGTGGTTAACCATAGTGCTGCCTGAAACAGTACTATGTTAAAGCACACTCGGGGACCTTTAGTGTGCACCAATAGGGTCTACAGAGACCAATTAATGTGCAACACCTTAGTGTGCTTTAGAAATCTCACTCCTGTGGAGCTCATTACCCCACCATATACACAAGCCCTTAGCTGGTGAGATCTGACTGGATCACAGCATAAAGTGGCAAATAAAGGATGCTGGCAAAATAAATTATTAATCATGTTTATTACAGCAGTGCCTAAAGACCAATCCCAAATGAGGCTCCATTGTGCAAGGCACTGTACAAACACAGACAATCCCTGCCCCAAGGAGCTTGCAATCTAAATAGACAAGACAAAAACAGGATGGGGAAATGGGATATAACACATGTGTCTGATTAAGTGGGCATTCACCCATGAAAGCTTATGCTCCAATACATCTGTTAGTCTTTAAGGTGCCACAGGAATCTTTGTTGCTTTTCACATAAACAGAGTGAACAATGTGATGGCGGCAAACTTCAAGTTAGTGCCACAATTGTTTTGCGGTGGGTTTGGTTAGGAGGGGAGAAGCTAAAAATGGAAAAAATAAAGGGAGAGGAGATGCTGAAGGAAGAAGGGTGAAGGGCAAAGGAAAACCGTAAGAGGGGCAGGTACAGAGCATTGCTGAGGTGAAGACACTGAGGGAGGAGAAGGGGAAAGGATGGAGCAAACAGCCAATTACCACAGGGCAGAAAAAGTCCAGTCAAAATTTTAGAAACTTCTCTAAGTGTCCAAAAGGTCCTTGATTTGGCTTCTTCTGCAACTGCTCCTACCAGCTAGAGTCTCTGGCTGGTTCCTCTCTGCAGTTTCTTCCCCACTCCCACCCAAATGCCACATAGCAAGAAGCAAGAGCGGGGAACAGAGGCACCACCTGGGTCTCAATTTCCTCAGAGTGGATGGGGGAGGGAGTGTCTGCCCTGCACGGTTCTGAATCTAGACAGGGAGGGAGGGATGGCCCCAGTTGGGCCCCATTTTACCCCTCCCGCCATCCACAGCAGTTTAATGATTCACAATAACATGTAAAAATAGCTTTGACTAGGTGGGCAAAGAACTACTAACTGCCCTACCCCCAAGTTGGAAGAAATATTAAGTAACTGACAGAAACTGCATAAACACAAGCCTAGGCATGTCCCGGAAATAGGGTTGCCAATAGTCCCTTATTAGAAGGGCCATCCTTTATTTCTTCATGTCTGTACAACAAAAGCAGCAAGAAATACCTCAGGAGAATGTGGGTGAGTACTGCTTATTTATTAATTATTATTATTAACGACAGCAACATTAGGAGAAGAGGTGGGGCAGAGCAACTTGCAACATTAGGAGAAGAGGTGGGGCAGATGTGCTAAGAAAACAGTCCCTTATTTTTGAAATACGTTGGCAACCCTACCCAAAAAGCACAATTATAATTCTATCGTCAAAATAATGTCTCACCTGAAGAATAGCAGAATCCTCATAAAGATCTGGAATATCCTGGAGCAAGTTTCTCCATATTTTAATATCATTCAAAACAACACTCATTCCTCCACCTGTCAGAGGGTGCCTCATATTATATGCATCTCCCAAAAGAAGAACGCCTAGATGGGAGAAAAAAAAAAATAATGGCATAGAACACATGCCAAGTACTCCATTTTAGAAATCAAAATTTTTCTCTCTCTATCAAATTTGCTAAGCCTTAGCAAAGAAAGCATTGCAGCTTGAAAACTACATAGATTCCACACAGCAGTTTAAAAATCACAGTGTAAAATGCATCTGAACAACTTAAAGCTTGGAAATGTTTTGTTTTTTTTAACACACAGCTCAAGAAGAAGTTATAAACATTTCTTTATACTTTCCTTTAAAAAATAAGCCACTTTTGACAGATAACAAGCATGAAAAACCATCAGCCTGAAACTGACTTTAAAAAAAAAATGCATGTTTTAAAATAAGGGTTTAAAATGGACCAACCAACAACCTTAATTCTAGGGTCACGAACAATATGCTGTTTATAGGCGCCAAACACACACAGGAATGTTTTTTTAAAGTACCATTTTCACAAAAGATAAAACAAACTTGACAGGGACAGTAGCACTGACAACAAACAAAAATATTTCTAAATTTGTTTAATGGTCATTAATCCTATACTTTTAAATATTTTTGTTCTTACTCTACCTTGTTTGTTAACAGGTGATGGAGGTAGGAAGCTTGCTGGCATGGTCCTCAAACGATCATTTTGAACTGCTATTAGGAACGGTTCCTTTAGGTGCTCTGCAGTAAGGAAACTCTATTTAGTTATATTACATATATGAAAATCAAGTCAAATAATTTGCACAGAACTACTCATAACCAGTTCTCAGAGATGTAACCCTTCGGAATTGCCTGTGTTACATATGTAAACTGAACAAACTACTGTTTGATGTTATGGTATCTATCAGTAACATAAAATGAGGGTTCAATGCTGCAAACTCTACAATGGCTCAATCCTGCGATATCCTGAGTGCCCTCAATTGCAGCTGACTTTCATTGGGAGTACAGGATGCTCGGCACCTCGTAGGATCCATACCCAAGTGTGAACGTAAATTGGAGCTCATCACATATAATGCTTGCAGCATCAGGCACTTAGTTTGCAGAGGGGAGGAAAATTGAAAAGAACAAACAATAATTCTGGCATTTTAATCAGAATGAGCACACTAAACTTGTACATTTAGCTGTTGTTTTCAAATGACCTTACCATGTTCCCATTAAAAATCAGTGACAAAACTCACAATAACTTTGGTAATGCAGGATCAGGACCTAGAACAGTTACCATGGCAAAACATCAGTGAAACTCTAAGACAGGCAAAGAAAGGGCACAGTGAGTTGCCTCCTTCAATATGGTCACTCAAAATAATTTTCAAATTAGCCAAAAAAAGACCCATTTCAGGGAGACTGATAAAATTATTCCTGCTCTACCTTCCCCAGCAGCAGCCTAATCTGTCTCTAGATATATGTGGTCCATTTCTGCATATTTTAGGATTTCCCCAACTATTTAAATGAGAAAACCACTTAAATCTGCACCCTTAATACATTTCAATTCCACATTGAACGTAAGAACATAAGAACGGCCATACTGGGTCAGACCAAAGGTCCATCTAGCCCAGTATCCTGTCTTCTGACAGTAGGCAATGCAGGTGCCCCAGAGAAAATGTACAGAACAGGTAATCATCAAGTGATCCATCCCCTGTTGCCCATTCCCAGCTTCTGGCAAACAGAGGCTAGGGACACCATCCCTCCCATCCTGGCTAATAGCCATTGATGGACCTATCCTCCATGAATTTATCTAGTTCTTTTTGGACCCGGTTATAGTCTTGGCCTTCACAACATCCTCTGGCAAAGAGTTCCAAAAGTTGACTGTGCGTTGTGTGGAAAAAATACTTCCTTTTGTTTGTTTTAAATCTGCTGCCTATTAATTTCATTTGGTGACTCCTAGTTCTTGTGTTATGAGAAGGAGTAAATAACACTTCCTTATTTACTTTCTCCACACCTGTCATGATTTTATAGACCTCTACCATATCCCCCCATTAGTCGTCTCTTTTCCAAGCTGAAAAGTCCCAGTCTTATTAATCTCTCCTCATACAGCAGCCGCTCCACACAATGCACACATTGAGTGGATGTTTTGAGAGAATTATCCACAATGACTCCAAGATCTTTCTTGAGTGGTAACAGCTAATTTAGCCCCCATCCTTTTAGATGTATAGTTGGGATTATGTTTTCCAATGTGCATTACTTTGCATTGATCAACATTGAATTTTATCTGCCATTTTGTTGCCCAGTCACCCAGTTTTGAGAGATCCTTTTGTAGCTCTTCACAGTCTGCCTGGGACTTAACTATCTTGAGTAGTTTTGTATCATCTGCACATTCTGCCACCTCACTGTTTACCCCTTTTTCCAGATCATTTATGAATATGTTGAATAGGACTGGTCCCAGTACAGACCGACACCACTAATTACCTCTCTCCATTTTGAAAATGGACCATTTATTCCTACCCTTTGTTTCCTATCTTTTAACCAGTTACCAATCCATGAGAGACCTTCCCTCTTATTCCATAACTGCTTACTTTGCTTAAGAGCTTTTGGTGAGAGACCTTTTCAAAGGCTCTCTAAAAATCTAAATACACTATATCCACTGGATCCCTCTTGTCCACATGCTTGTTGACCCCCTCAAAGAATTCTAGTAGATTGTTGAGGCATGATTTCCCTTTACAAAAAACCACGTTGACTCTTACCCAACAAATTATGTTCATCTCTGTGTCTGACAATTTTGTTCCTTACTATACTTTCAACCAGTTTGCCCGGTACGGAAGTCAGGTTTATCAGCCTGTAATTGCCGGGGTCACCTCTGAAGCCCTTTTTAAAAATTGGTGTCACATTAGCTATCCTCCAGTCATTTGGTACAGAAGCTGATTTAAATGATAGGTTACAGACTACAGTTAGTAGTCCTTCAATTTCACCAAAAACTTAAAAGGTAATAACAAAATGTTTTTTAAGTACATCAGAAGCAGGAAGCTGGCTAAACAACCAGTGGGGCCTCTGGACGATCAAGATACAAAAGGAGCACTTAAAGACGATGAAGTCATTGCGGAGAAACTAAATGAATTCTTTGCTTCAGTCTTCATGGCTGAGGATGTTAGGGAGATTCCCAAACCTGAGCCGTCCTTTGTAGGTGACAAATCTGAGGAATTGTCACAGACTGAAGTGTCATTAGAGGAGGTTTAGGAATTATTTGATAAGCTTAACAGTAACAAGTCACCGGGACCAGATGGCATTCACCCAAGAGTTCTGAAAGAACTCAAATGTGAAATTGCGGAACTATTAACTATGGTTTGTAACCTGTCCTTTAAAATCAGCTTCTGTACTCAATGACTGGAAGATAGCTAATGTAACACCAATATTTAAAAAGGGCTCTAGAGGTGATCCCGGCAATTACAGACCGGTAAGTCTAACGTCAGTACTGGGCAAATTAGTTGAAACAATAGTAAAGAATCAAATTGTCAGACACCTAGAAGAACATAAATTGTTGGGCAAAAGTCAACATGGTTTATGTAAAGGGAAATCATGTCTTACTAATCTATTAGAGTTCTTTGAAGGGGTCAAAAAATATGTGGACAAGGGGGATCCAGTGGACATAGTGTACTTAGATTTCCAGAAAGCCTTGACAAGGTCCCTCACCAAAGGCTCTTATGTAAATTAAGTTGTCATGGGATAAGAGGGAAGATCCTTTCATGGATTGAGAACTGGTTAAAAAAGACAGGGAACAAAGGGTAGGAATAAATGGTAAATTTTCAGAATGGAGAGGGGTTACTAGTGGTGTTCCCCAAGGGTCAGTCCTAGGACCAATCCTATTTAAGAGTGGTAGCCGTATTAGTCTGTATCAGCAAAAACAACGAGGAGTCCTTGTGGCACCTTAGAGACTAACAAATTTATTTGGGCATAAGCTTTCGTGGGCTAGAACCCACTTCATCGGATGCATGAAGTGAAAAATACAGGAGCAGGTATAAATACATGAAAGGATAGGGGTTGCTTTAACAAGTGTGAGGTCAGTCTAATGAGAAACTAATTAACAGCAGGATATCAAGGGAGGAAAAATAACTTTTGAAGTGGTAGGAGAGTGGCACATTACAGACAGTTGACAAGAAGGTGTGAGTAACAGTAGGGAGAAATTAGTATCGGGGAAATTAAGATTAGGTTTTGTAATGACCCAACCACTACCAGTCTTTATTCAGGCCTAATCTGATGGTATCAAGTTTGCAAATTAATTCTTCAGAAGCTGCAGAACTGGAATTAATTTGAAAACTTGATACCATCAGATGTATACCATCAGATGATCAGATGTCTGACTTTTCAAATGGACAATTCAGCAACAAATTGAAAACAAAGCCAAAACCAAACCAACCCCTCCCCCCCCACACACACACCCTGGTGGATAATATATTATAATTCTAAAGAGTACATACACAAATCTTCATAGTCTTACCAGGTAGTTGTGGATAAATTTTCTCAGTCATGTATTCTTTGATGTTTTTTGGCATTTCCCCTCGAATATCAACAAGTACTCGAGTCTCATTTGAAGAAATCTGGTAGATAAGGACTGGACTAGGATTAGCTAAAACAAGTTCAGCATGATTGGCTTTAAACTGTGGTGAGTCCTTTAAAAAAAAGGAAGGAAAAAACTGATTAGTAAAAGGGTCAAAAGTTGCTCTTTTGCTGAATCATTTCCTGACATCCTTTAAAGTGTATTAAATGCAAAACAAGTCACATTAATTTAACATTAAGATTGCATGTTGGGCAATGAAAGTGCTAAAGTTCCAAAAACAATGATAATTTGACTTCTTTGCACATTCTGAATATTTTATTACAATACATTTTAATTTGTATATTAAGCTACACATTTCATTAAATCCTTCATTAATTCTTATGTGTAAAGTGGCCAATTTAAGATTTTGTTTAAATGAACAAAATAGAGATGAGGAGACAAAATGCCTATAGGTGTAATTTCGCTTTCTACTCCATATGGGCACCAATTCAGCAAAGCACTTAAATATGTATTTAACGTTAAAGCATGTGAGTAGTCAATGGGACTACTAAAGTTAAGTATGTTCTTATGTACCTTGCTGAATCAGGGTTATAATCAGTAGTACATATTTTTAAGTGATTTTAGTATTGTTAAATAAAAACCAGGGTTTTTTTTTTTTCAAACCAAGTAAGGGCACTAGTCCTCAGTATGGACTATGGGCCCAATCTTTCTTTCACTGAACTCAATGAAAAATTTGGGGTAATGTTTTGAGAACTCTGAAAATTTGGGCTGGTATGAATTTGTACCTCGTGTATTATATTTGACATTACACCTATAATATCCCCAGATAAGAAATGGTGTTAAGTCTGGGTACACATCAGTGTGATTGTCTATACAGGAAGTTAATGCATGGTAACCCAAGGTGTGAATCTACAGCACACTAGCTTGCCACACACTAATTGGCCATGTGGACCCTGCAACTGTGCACTAAAAGTTCTGCAGTACATTTAAAATGAGAGTGCATCAAAGCACACTGCAGAACTTTTAGTGCACAGTAGCACGGTCCATATGGCCAGTTAATGTGCAGCAAGCTAGAGCTAGAGATTCATACTTGGGTTGCCGTGCACTAAACTTTTCATGTAGACAAATCCAGTAATTTAAGAGTAAAAACACACAATCCAATTTTTAATGTCACTATTCTTACCATGGTCCAATAATTCCCAAAGCCAAAATGAAAAAGAAGTTAATGGAACTCCTATTAAAATATTTTAAAGCATGTTGTTCTTCTAATAGATGCTTTGGAGGCCATTTAATAATATAATTCAAGAGACTGCTGTCAGTACTTGTTGAATAACAAAAAATAATAAAGCATAGGTTTTCTAAATGTCTTCCATAAGGATAAATTCTCATTTCATACGCATAACTCTCATTACAGCTACTGGGAGATATGATTGAATCTGGAGAGAAAAATATACATCAGCTATTAGGCATCAGTCTTTCTGTACTATACATACAAGGTCCTTACTTTCAAAATGCAGCCAACAAAATGGGATGAAACAGAAACTTTGTTGGAAACCAATTTTTTCCTAAACTTGGAGAAAAGTCCATCAGCAACAACAGTCAGAGGTGCATGTAATTCCTGCAACATAAAAATGTGATATTTATCTCAAAAAGATAAAAAGGATAAAGTATCTTGTTAATCATATGTTGATCCTATATAATTTTAGATCTGATATTAAGATATAAATAGCTGAATTAATTTCTCTCAATTTTAAAGGGAAAAACACAATAAATCACTTTTGGAATTGGAGAAAGTATGGAAGAGTTCAACCCCTTAAGAACTTTGAGACATTATGAGCAATTTAAGAAGATGAGGAGCTTATAGAAGAAAATGCTTCTCGACTTTTAATTTATTTTTTATTGAAGAATCTGAAAGTCTACATATAAATAAATAAGCAAAACAAAAATGGAACATCTTTTACAACAGTAACACACCGATAAATAAATAAAAGATTTCTGCTGAGATTCCTCAGTTCATTTTTCTTTTAAAGGAACAAACAAAAAATAAGATGAGAATGTAATGTCCAGATAACACACCACCACCACTTTTATTTAATTCTGGAATTACTGACCAAATCACTGGCAATCTATCTCCTACTTGCTTTAGGATACCACATTATTTAATATCAACAAACCACCCCAAGCCCTATATTTTTCAACCACTTACTGGTTTTGAGGTTAAAATAATCATGGAAGAGTGACTGTGACACTAAGCATCCCTGTATTCAGACCCTACACACTACTGTAAAAATCTTTGTACAAAATATGTCCTGTGAGGTACATTTGAAAACTCACTGATCATTAATATTCCTGGGTGTTGTATGTACACGATGTGTATTAAGAGTTATGGACATCTGCTGGAATGATAATTAAAATGTGTTCAAGCTAGGCATGTCAGGGAGAGTTGGTAAACGAAGTATAAAGGAATGTGGTTTTGAATTTCTGACCAGCCTGATATTCAGGCAAAGACAATGAAATTGAAACTGCAGGAATGTTAAATGGATTGTATTTGAAGAAAAAGAAAATCTTCAGCACTAGAAAGTGACCGAAACTGTTCCCCCCAATCCCTAATAAAGATACTGTACAAATTTCTTAATGTAATGTACTATCCTGTACTGCCATATGTGGAAGTCACTATTTCCTTGTTTAAAAGAATAAAAATACCTAGCCTTTATATAGCACTTTTCACTGATAGATCAAAATGCTTTACAAATCACCATATATTCCCACTTTACAGATCGGGAAATAGAGGCACAGGGAGTGAAGTGACTTGGCCAAGATCACCCAGCAGGCCAGTGGCAGAACCAGAAATTGAAACCATGACCCAGTCCAGCCCTCTATCCACATGGCCACAAAACCTCCCTTTATTTTTCCAATGCTTGATGCACATTTTTTTTAATGTTCTGAGATATCCAAATCTTCTTAAATGCTGTATCTGTGACCATACAATAGAACAGTTAAACACAAAGAACAGTGAAATCTGTTGTCTCACCTTAATATCTCCAGTTTCTTTATCCTTGTACTGAACACCCACCACACAGTCATCTTCCTCGAGCAGTTGTAACACAGTCCCTTCAATGAATTTTGTGCTGAAATAAACCAGAACTTTTAAAAGTACAGGAAAAAATAAAAGGATATTTAGGGCCATAGTTTCAAACTGACTTATGACATAGAGAATGTAAGTTGTTCATGATCCCATTACTGCATATAAAAAGCATTCATTTACACATATAAAATTGTTCTGCCTAGTTTCAGACACAGTATTAAATGGTTCCTATTTTCTTGAAATCAATGGCCAAGACCAAGTGTCACTGAACGCTATGGCCCTAATCCTGCGAAGACATCCACATAGGTTTAACTTTATACACTGTGATTAGTCCCATTGACTTCATAGTCTATCACTTAAAATACACATGGAAGCCTTTACAAGACTGGGGTCTGTGGGCTTGCCTACACCAGTGGTTCTCAATCAGGGGTCCAAGCCCCCTGGGGAGCCGAGAGCAGGTTTCAGGAGGGTCGCCAAGCAGGGCTGCCACGTGGAGTTGAAGCCCAGGCCCTGCGTCCCACCACCCGAGGCTGAAGCCAAAGCCAGAGCAATGTATCTTTGCAGGGGCCCCTACGGCATGAGGCCCCAGCCAACTGTCCTGCTTGTACCCCCTAATGCCAGTCCTGGTTTTTATATCCAGAAAACCAGTTATTGTGACACAGGTGGGCTGTGGAGTTTTTATAGCATGGGGGGTGGGGGGGAAAGACTTGAAAAGAAAAAGGTTGAGAACCTCTGGTCTACACTACAGAGCCTTGGCCTCTATAGCTATGCAGGCAGAACCCCCTAGTGTACGCGGTGTAAGCTGCCATAAGGAGTTCTATTGACAGCATAGCCACACTATGACATTAGCTAAGCCAACAGGAGCACTGTTCTGTTGGTATAGTTGCATCTACATTAGAGTGTTTTCAGGCATAGCTAAGTCAGCTAGGGGTTGTGATTTTTTCACTGTTGGAATAATTGGGGCCTAATAGGCCTACTTTAGTGGTTAGCCTAACTAGTGAAAAATGAGTAAAGGTTCATGAATTGCCACAATGACCCATTATATAAAATTGTTTAAGAAAAGATGTAAGGAGGAGACAGAAAGACTGAATTAATTTAAACAAAGAGATCCTGATACCACCCAAGGGCTGTGTTAAGCTCATGTGTGGCAAAAAAGAGGAATGTAGGACCAGAAATTAGGCCTACCTGGTGGACAAAATAATGAGGGGGATGAGCTATTCCATCCATCATCTGTTTTTGGGGCCCTACAAAAAGAGATGGGGGAGGAAGGATGACTATCGCCACTACCGTGGCTGCAGCAGAAGGATTTTTATCGTGACACGCAGACCTTGACACACCAGTGGGAACACCTGACCATCACTGCTGCACCAGCAAGGACCCCAGCCTGATACCTTTGAGATCTTGCTCTGTCTTCCCCTCCCTCGTGTGTCTCTTTCTGATCCCCACTATCTTCCTTCTCTTGTTTTTTTGCCATATCCTGAACCCAGCTACACTGCATGGCACCCGCAAGAGATGAGATGGCCCATCCAGCTCTCCTCAGCCTGAGAAAGACCAGTGAAGGAGAGGGACCTAACCAGACCATCCAGATGATGTCCTGACTGCAGAGGTGAGCTAGGGTCTAGAGCAACAGCTGTCGTGGCTGTCCATGACTGACTATCGTGCATTCTGAGAACACCAACAAAAGCCATATATCCCCCATTTTTAATTATGTTGTCTCTTCTCTCCCAACTTACTGTGCTCTTCACAATCTTTGTAAAGCCAAATGTGAGCCAGTTACCCCTCAATGGATCCATGACAGCGACAGACTTCTGATCAAGTACACTCAGCCGAAAGTGCAACTACCACAGCCTGGACTTAATCAATATTCCCTCTCTTTAAAGAGAGATTTTAATAGGTTTTGATTATGTTCATTTTACTTAATCACTCAATTTCAATTTGAATGCTTGTGTAGACCAGGTCGCTATGTTACCACATGGCTTTCCTTCTCCATTATCTCACACATAACTGTATGTTCCTTATAAGTATGGGGGAAGAAGGGGGAAAAACCACCACATTTTCATGGGGCTAGAGTTTCAGATTAGGAAGATAAAAAAAAAGTCTGGCTTTTTTTTTTTTTTTTTAATTCTTTCATCTTTTAATAAAATTACTAAAATAAATTTTATTTCCTAGAAAAAGATTTTCAATATCATTTTCTTTAACAATATTACCCTGCAAATATACTTTTAGTTTTATCATCAAAATAAAGGTGTGTACATTACCAAAATTAATCCATATTTGCATGACTTGGTCTCATCTGTTGTTCATAAACCTACTAAAGTAAGTCCTTATGACAGTAAAAGTAGCTCCTCAAGTGAATTGCCAACAACTGGATTATCAGAGGGGTTTCACATGGGTGCAAGGATCCACCTAGACAGATTCAATTACAGACTCTGTCTATTAGGTTAAACTCTTCAGGGCAGGGAGTGTCTATCTTTGAGTCTAGTGAAGCACTAAGCACATTGTTAGAACTAAACAAATAAACAGTAATAATATTGATAAAGGACCACCCCTTTACCCTGTGTGTAATTTTACTTTTATTCATCTGAAAATAAATAGTTATTGCTTAGTACATGTTAAAAGACTATATTCACTTGTAGTGACACTAACCTTTCACTCCCCATGACACATTTTTTAAGAATTCGGAGAGAAAAAGTAAGACTCCATGGCATTCAAAATTACAAATGTTTGAAATCTCCCAACTATAATTAAATATTCAACTTCCTCTTCCCTGGTACATGGAGAGGTGGGATATATTCAAAATGAACCAAGAAAGGAAGAAATGAACTCGTTACAAATACTAGTTTTTCTAAATTTCTGCTAGAAAAATGTGTAAAGCAGATATAACAGAATTTTCCAGGATTTTAAGAAGAGTTAGGTGCCCAAATCCCATTGAAATTAAAGGTATGCCCAGGCATCTTAAACTTTCGTAATTATCACAAATGCAGCAGATCACCTCAGCTTGCACCAACCTTAGCAGTATTGATATTTTAAAAATGATTTCAAAATAATTAATTCATCCAATCTAATAGATTTAATGGAAACAAACAGGTTTTCAGTAAAGAACGAAGATTCATACCATACCTGTATACTTATTTTTAAAAATATATAGCTTATTGTGGTATGTTGCATGATAAAGCAATAAGACCTTACTTTCCTTTAACATTTGGGTTTCTTAACTCCCCTTTTACATAAAGGCAGTGATCATATAAAGAAGCTTGTTACAAATGTTTTTAGGACCGAAGGGGTTGCCTTCAAGACTCTAGAATACCAAAACTACTGGAGGTGTTCATCGCTCTTTTCCAACCATTTTACTTATATATATAGTATTGGAAAAGGTGGAGGAGTAGAGAAAAGAGGATCATAATTATCCTCATTCTTGCTAAGGCAAGTTTCTTTTCCAGCATCATGAATCATATCAGCAGGAAGATCAACATGCTTAGGGTCTGTCTATACTTGAAAGTTAATGAAGATTAAGGCGGGGTGTGAATTTAAAGCACAGTGGCTATTCCTGAATAACTCCAGGTATTTACAATTCCTGATCATTAAATGAGTCAGCTCTACCACTTGCTTCTCTGATCAATCCAGGTAGTTCTGTGCATTATTCACTGATAGAGCATGGCTGTTTTTGGCAAATAGCCCAGATCAGCACTGGTGTACACAAGTGCAACTCCATTCAAGTTACTACCATTTGTTGCAGGGCTCATTTTGACCCAATTTATTAAAGTATACATTATGCATTACAGGCCTGTTTCCCCATTGAATCAGAATCAACCTGTGGGGAAGATCCTCCCCACAGACTGCCAATTGGACCACATTTTTTAATTCTGTGGCATGTATTTGGGGAACACTGGTGTTCCCATAAATCCAAGACCAAATTATGTCCCAAAGACCAATGCACAGTTGCTTACTTACATGCTCTTTTAATTGATTATGGTGTAATTAATATACCTCTTATAAACATCTACAAAAATATGTTATGTGCATACTGAAGCAAAAAAAATTATTAACGCTCAGTTCCTGCATCAGGATTGTCTAGTGCAGACCTTTGCACCCTTGCAGAGTTCCACTGAAGTGACTGGAGCATCTCAGAGGTGCAGGGAACTGTGCTATTGGATCCTGATGCAGGAGCAGGACCTAAAATTGTTATACTATGTTGATTAAAATTTTAAGCCAGCGGTCTTACTTGGGTTCTGCCATGGCTGCCCTTCGGAGACCCATGATGAAGCGCCCATGATGAAATGCTCTTCCACTCTGCATCAGACCATCTGCAGAGTTTGGAAAAGGAATTTCAACCTCTGACTTGCTCTCTAGATCATGAATTATGTAACCATTTACTATGTGAGCATCAAGACCTTCCACTGAATCTGGAAAACAAATCCCAATATTTTAGCGAAAGAATAAAGAACAACAAGGAATACGCATTAGTCTGTAAAAATTGACCTCTACACCAAGAATATTCTATTTCTTTAGCAAACGATCACATGCATACAACACAGAAGGGGACATTTTCAAAATGGTGGACAGGAAACATAAGAACAAGCAGCTTTAATCCAAATATGTCCAGAATATGTTGTATTTTTAAATTTTCTTTGTAAGCATGCTTTTCTTTGATACAAGGGGTTTTTGTCCTTGTCAAGTAAATACCTTTGCAACAAAATATCTGAGTTTTAAGATTTACTTACCTTCAAGACCCAGTTCTTTAAGAGCATTATATCCTCCAGGTTGTAACAATTCTCCAACTATCCTGTCAGGTTCCTTCAGATCCCTCTCTACTACTGTCACATTTCTTCCGTCCCGTGACAGCACTGCAGCCAAAGCAGAACCAAGTACACCTGAACCCACGATGATAACCTCTGGATCAGACTGAGGAGCTAATATTGTATTTGTACCAGTCTCTGTCACAGTGTTTGAGTTTACCCCTCTTTTACCCTATGTAGAAATTAAAACCAACAAAACTGCAAGTGACATATCTAGCATTTATACTCTTTATTTTACAAATAATAATAGACAATATAATATAAAAATTGAATGATGGTGAATTATCTTTTGGCTTTAAAAATTAGACAGTTTTTTTCTAGGTCTAGGTCTGAATATCAACTCCCCTAATCCTGCAAACCGTTATTATTGAGCCTAGTGATGTGAGTAGTCCCATTGGAATTCAATGGGGGTACTCAACAGTAACAAGTGTCATATTCATGGTCGTAGGCATTAAGCTCAGTATAAAGGGTTTGGAGGAGTGGGTCCTGAGCCATATTAGGGCCATGGATGACAGGACAGCACTGGTCTGGAGACAGAGATTTTTCTGAGGCCAATTATAAACGTGGTCAGATTTGGGAGAATTTTCACAGGGATGGCAAAAAGCACATTCCTGACACGAAGGCAACCTCCCTGCCACATTTCAAGTCCCTGCCCTAAAGCAGAGGCTTTATAACTTCTCAAAAGTAGAAAAAAATCCTTTTAACATGGTCAAGATGCATTTCTGCGCAACCTTGTTCTGAGAATGGCTGAACCATTTTAGCTGAAATCTCCCCTCAAAACAAAAAACAAACAAGGCAGGCACCCAAAATGGAAAATTTCAGCCCAAACAGTTACAATTTGACAAAGTTATAAATAACTGAAAACAGAGTTTTATCATGAAAAGTGTTAGGTAACTTTAAATATATGCTGTGCTATCATTTGACTATTTATATTGCTTACAATTGAAACCCAAAGTACTGTCATTCATCAAATTATATATATGCTGGTTAATCAATTTCTGTGGTGTATGAACAGGTCTAATAGGTTCCAGTCCTTCCTGGCAATTACCAATCAATTATACCTCACATTGCACAAAAATGACAAATGTGATGGTAGAGTTTCTTACTTATTCTCTGTCAACAACTCGCTTGGCAAACCTGCAAAGTATTTTTTGACTACCAGAGCTGCAGTTTGTACCTGCAATTTTCAAAATCGCAAGTATTTTCTGCTTTTTACATCACTCCCAGCAATAAACACTCTACAGTCAGAATTTAAATGACAACTGTCAATGGCGTACAAAGTAGAATGGAATCCAGCTCATTTTGACACAGCTCCATTAGCTCTGCAGTGCTCACTGTAGTAAAAGCTAGATTGTATCAGTACAACTACCTAGAAGTGAAACAGGATTGTTAGGTAACAGGGTGCCATGTTTATAGCTACTTTAAATGATTATAAAACCTGGGAAGTAAATATAAAATAAATTAACTGAGGCTCAGAGTATAGTCTTTATAAGAAACAATACAGTAGCTGAAAGTCCCAGGGGAATTGCTGCAGCAGCAATGAGGTCATGATCTCTAGTGCAGGGGATCAGACAGAGTCAGCTCTGCTCCAAAGTGCATATGGAAGGGGGTCCAACTATTGTAGTTCAAAGGATGCACTGAATCTGTACATCTGCTTGAGACCCTGGTGGGGCTCCTACTGAGCTCCTTCCACAAACTAAAGCTTTCTGCTATCATACCACTGGCAGACAAGGAAAAGCTGGCAGTCTGCTTCAGAGATTCTGCCCAATGTTCTAAAAGCCTTTGAAGATGTAAAGCCCTATATGTGTGATATTTCATTACTATTGCTATTATCTATAGAATTATTTGGATTTCATCAGATGTATCTGCAAAAAAATTTTCTAGTCTGCCACATAAATGGTTTTCTTTCAAATGTAGAGATGCTGAAAGCTGATGTATGTCACAGCACTAACAATTTAAGATGTTTCCTATGTGGGAAAAATACTTTACTGGAAATTACACAAACACAGAAACTGCAAATCAACGTAATAACGGAGATTTCACCCAAGGTTTACCTTTAAACTTAATTTGAAACCCAAGAACCTAGTGTCTTGATTAAACAGGCTCCGTCTATGAGTTTGTCACCCAAAACGGAAATAAAAATCTAACAAATCCCTAGGTGGGGACCACAAAGATAAATCCTCTCCAACCTTCATTAGCTGCTTTTCCCTCAAACTGACAGAGGAGCCCTAATATAAAAACAACGGTGAAAGGACTCCATTCTATTTCCCAGGTTTGAACTGAACTTACCTTTCTGGATTTGGGTTGCTCTGCCTGTGGAGATCCAGGGGTGGATTTGGCCCAGAAAAAACCAATGAGTGGCAAAGCTGAGAGAGCACTACAGAGCATCCCAAAGTGGGACTGTTTCTGCTGCCCCCACTGCTGTTGTTTTAGCCACCCAGAACGATACCAATAAGACAGGAGCAAACCAAGAGAGAAAAACATCAACGTAGTCAGCAGCACCTCTTTGTTGACATAAGTCATCAAGTCTCCACATTTCTTATACACATAGATGAAGGAGGCGATGCCCAGAAAAGTCCACATTATGACAAGAGCAAGTAACTGTCGCCGGTGGTTCCCTTTAACACTTGTACTGTGATTGAAGTTCTCTGAAAAAGGGATTTTGCACAAGCTATAAAAATCATAAAAATACAAATATCCTCTTAAAAATATATATGTGGTAACAGAGAAGCAAGACTCTCTCACAAAGCCCTGCAAAAGGTAGCAACTGCAGCTTTACTGGGGCATGGCAGCCCAGAGACAAGGATGCTCCAAAAAGTGGTATGAATTCAATACAAATCTCCTCTTAAAACAACCAGAGAGAGATTTACAGCAGCTCAAATGACTTAAATTCTACAAACTGACTACAACATTGGCCTCAGCTATTGACGCCTGATGTTCATGAGGGTCAAATTCATGGCTGGGGTGGGGGTTTTTTTTGCTACGATATCTCCTTTGGGGGTCACAGTCTCTTGTCTCCAGCAGCAGGTGCTCTCCCCCACAAAAAATAATTAGACCGGCATATTATTACATGGGGCCTGAACTGAGGCTTCTAGCGGGAGCCACCAGAGGGGATTTATACGAAGGGGAGACCCTTCCCGTTACCTAGCCAATCTTATTACATCTCATGTTGAACACGGGCTCCTCCCCGAATCCAGAGACGAAAGAAATATGCTGGTGCCGCCCTTGGGAAATCCTCTGGCCGTTCTCTCTTCGCCCTCACCAGAAGCCCCCAGCAGATCCCAGTAAGCTGCTCCCTGGCATGGGGCGCCCGGCGACGGACCCTGGCTGGGCTGTGGCTCCCCTGCCCCTCACTGGGTGGCGGCTCCCGCTCAGCCCGGCCAAGCCCCTCTCCCCGCGGCTGAGCCGGTCCTCGCCCGCGCTGATGAGGATGGAGCCCGGCCTCCCGCTCGCCCTCTCCCCCGGACGCCGCCGCTGCCTAGGCTACGGACTTCACGGCTCGCAGCCAAGCAGCAGGGGTACAAGGAGGAGGGGCGGGGTTTATGCTAATGAGCGGCTCCCTCCATCCTCTTGCAAGCGCCGCGCGCCCGGTGCCCCAGCAGCTCCGGGCCAATCGGCGGTGCTAGGCCGAGATGGCGCTATCGAGGACTGGCCAATGGCAGGGAGCGGAGGGCGGGGCTTGACGCCTTCCGGGCCCCTAGTGCGATGTGACGAAATGAGCGGGCGGGGCTAGGGGAAGGGGTTGCGCCCTGCGGTTGCCAGGGGCACGGGGAGGGAAGGTGCTGCGCGCTGGCAGGGGCGGTAGGGCGCAGCTTCCCGCCTCCGACCGCGTCGCCGCAGCCGGGCTCTCGGTGCTGCGTCCTGCTCCCCAGGAGAGCCTGTTCCCGGGCTCTCCGTCTGCATAGCCGAGACCCCCTGGCAGCAGCCGGGCCACCACCCTGCCTCGGGGCTCAGGGTCTGTTCCCCCAATGGGGAGAAATGGGGCACCTGGGCAGGCCGACCGACGGGGGGAGAGATGGGGCATGGGGCGGGAACAAGGTGGGAAGAGAGATGGGGCAGGAATGAGGTGAGATGGGGCACAGGGGCAGGAAGGAAGGAAGGGGGAAAGTGAGGTGGGGCAGGACATAATTCTTCATTGCTCTGGATTGCACTCCAGAGTGTAACATCTTTGTGTTTTACACCGTGACTTATTATCAGCCCCGGGGACAGCCCTGGCCCCTGTTACATCATATTTAGGCACTTAAATAAGTGGCCTGATTTACAGAATTGATGAGTTAACAATAACAAAGTAGGAGCTGCTGAGTGCTCACCAAATCGGAAAATAACGCCAAAGGTGCCTAACTATAGATTTATGAGATTAACGTCAGGCTTCCAAGTTGGAAAGTTTTAACCTGAGGCCAAAGGATAAGTAAAAACAGTGGGGCTCTGAAAGGTTGAATGGGGTCTCTGTCCACACACAGCGCTGGGCAATATCAGGGTTTAAATCAGGACTGCAAAATTTGGCTCAGTAATGTATGAAATTGAACCACTGCTTCATTTTTCTCTCTTGGATGCAGACATGGGGCCAGATTCTACTCCCAGGAGCAGCTGTGTTATCCTATTGATTCAGAATCTGGATCTTAGTGACTTTAAAATAGAAGTGAGTGATATTATGCTATTTTCAAGTATTACTTCACCAAAATAGTAATGATTAAACAGTTTGCAGCTAGTGTATAAACAATAACACACCTTTCTCCTAGTACAGCTAAGTGAACTATAGAAGCAGCATACTTACTGCTTCTCAAAAAAGTCACTTTGCTATATAGTTTTCATTGCAAAACTCTGTACAGACCAGTTGACTTAGCTAATCTTTGCTGCTACCTTTTTAAAACAATATTTGCTGGTTGTGAGTTGCTCTTGAGTAATTATGTTAAAGAATACTCCTACAATACTTCACGATTTAGTGAACAGAAGTCCTGATTCACAAGTCTGCCATTGCCTTTGTGCACTGCTCTGTAGTGGCAAAGGGGCTGTAAACTGGCCTGTAATCTGGACAGATCTTGTCCTCAGGGAATTGCAGCACAGACGTATTATTTTAATTACTTTCAATTTAGTGCATTCTGGACGTTGCCGAAATAATATCTTGCATGTAATACCTAATAGGCTTCTTTCTGCTACTACACTGTAATGATATTTAGTTTCATTTCAACTTCCCCCAGCTGCCAGCTGGGAGCAGAGTCTAAAGCCCACCCAGCTTCTCGCTCCGGTTCCCAGCTGGGAGGGAGATCCAAAGCCGCCCCGGCTTTAGCTCCCAGCTATGAGCCGGGAAAGCTGTACGCCTCTCATCGGGGTGATTTTTTTACAGCACTGCATCTGCGCAGTTTCTGCGCACTAAGTGGCTTGGCAGTGTGTACACCTCGGGAGTTACACCGCAGAAAGCTGCTTTGCTGCAGAAACTTGCCAGTGTAGAGAAGGCCTTAGAAAGAGTATAGAGGGGGACTTAGAAAAAATACACAAAGCACTGAGCCTAGGTTACATTCAGAAAAGGGGGAGATTTGGGGGCATAGGTGAAAAGAAGGGGTCAAACCCAGGGAAGGGCTAGCAGAGTATAGAGAAGTTCCACTCTACATGTGGTACTTATGTGGCCCCACCACCATGGTATCCGAGGCTGCGTTTCACAATGTCAAACCTATTTCTCCTCCTAGCCCCTCGGTGAGGTGGAGCAATGCTCGTATCCCCATTGTACAAATGGGGCACTGAGGCACACACAGACTAAGGGCCAGATTTTCAAAGGTATTTAGGCACTTAGTGAGATTTTCAAATGCACTTAAAAGGTTTGGTACTTTGTAAGCCCCACTAGATATCTAGCTGCATCTTTGGGTGCCTAAAAACCTTTGAAATTCTGTCCTTAAAGCACTAGCCTGGGGTCAGACAGGAAGTCCATGGGGGGGGGGGGGATAGAACCCAGGTCTTTCAAAGCTAGCTCCTTATCAAGCAGACCATCCATTATCTCTCTGCTGCATGCTGCAAAAAAAGAGGACTCTGGTAGACTGGAGCAAAACCAAGGCAGCCAGTACTCTGAGACGCCAGCAAATGGTCCCAGGATGGATGTCATAGTTAACAGCATGCCAAGCAGCACAGAGGTTAGGGAGAATGAGCATTAGATAAGAGAAGCTCACTTAACTCCCACGGGGTGGTAGGTTCTGCCCCATGCTGGGTTGTACAGCAATGGCTTCTGTGCAATCTTACATTTTAACTGAAAACGTTTTTGTTCAGTCATTTTTTGTTCTGAGTTTGAGAAAAGGAAGGAATGAGAAAATGTCATATAAGTATCAGATGTGTTTATGCCTCAAATTCTTAGGGTTTCAGGTGTATTCAGGCCAATTCCAGAACAAAGAACAGAATCTGCATATACAGAGTCCATAAAGTCGACGATTATTGTCATGATTTGCATTATTCACTGGGCACCGTTCAGCACTGTTCAGAATATGCCGGAAAATACAGTCTCTGAGCCAATGCATATAAGATGTGTAACTCTGGATAAGATGACTCAGATATTTAAGTATGAAGTGTATAGTTATTGACCACACAGGTTATCACATGGTCACTGTGATGTTTATATCTCTGAGTGGAGGCACTGATGGCAATAGAAGTTTTAGTTGACTAAGGATTAGAAGATTTGACCCTCCAATGTTCTTTTCTAAAGGAAAAGCTGTCCAGAGTTCCTGTGCCTGTTTATTTTCCTTTCCTGCCTGCAGTGACCCTGATATACCTCAGAAGTCTCAGTTTTTTTCTCAGCTTTAAAATATAGACGTTTCTTGGTGTTTGGTTTTAAATATTCTGTGAGAACTGCAACTCAGTCACTGTAGTGTTGTGTTTAAGAGCCTTCTGGGAAGTAACTAGCCTTTAAACACAAGTAAAAGCAGTGTTGCCAACTCTCATGATTTTGTCATGAGTCTCATGATAATTGTTTTCCTTAAAGCCCCAGCTCCTGGAGTCAAGTGGAGATGTGATGATTTCAGCCTTCATTCTTAAAGAAAAATGAAGTTTCTAGTCCTCGTGCCTGTGGAAAAAGCTTCAAAATGTGACCCCAATGCACCCTAAAGGGCAGGGGTGAAAGTAATAATAAATTCTTACCAGTACAGGGGCTGACTCCAGCCCCCGGAAGGGGCGGAACCTTGGGCGGAAGAGGCGGGGCTGGAGATCAGTAATCTAGATTTTTCTACAATTGTTTAAATTGTTGTATTCAAGAGTTAGTAACAAAGAATTAAAATTTTAAACCTAACCAGTGTTACTTAAGTGACTTGACACAAGATGTGAGAACATGTTAATATTAGAGCTGAGTGGGTCTAATATTTATTAAATCCTCTTTTTTTATATAGGAATTAGATACAGTGCTCCTATCAGCTAATTTCTAAGTTATCTGAAAAAAAAAACCCTAGAATTTTCAGGTGCCTAAATAGCCCTTGGAATCACGGTTAAAGTTGTCCCCTGCAAAAAATCTGAAATGGCGCCCCTGGTAAGGGGGCTGGGAACAGAGCCGCAGCCAGGGGCTGAGGCTAGGGCTGGGAGGGGAGCCCTGGGCAGGGATCGGGAGCAAGGACCGCTGCTGGAGGGTGAGTGGGGCTGGGTGGCACTCCCTTGCCTTCCATGGGGGCTGGCCCAGGCCCACCATGCCACCCCCGAGCTTTCCTCCCCACAATTTGGGGACCATTGGTCTACACAGACACTGCGTTGACCTAACTACACTGACATAAGCCTTACGCCTCTCGTGGAGGTGGAATTATTATGTCGGTGTAGATGGGCACTTACATCGGTGGGAGGAAGGCTGTAGTGTCTAAGATGCCTTATATTGACCTAACTGGGTAGTGTAGACCGTCCCTGAGACACTTAACTCCAGGAGAGGGTTCGCAGCTGAGGCGGTGGAGTTAGGTGAGGAGCACTCTGAGGGACTTGGGGCTTAGGAAAGCCTCCTCCCCACTTATTTAAGTGCATGCTGGCTTTTGTGAATCCCATTCTTAGGTGCCTATCTCTAGTCATTGTGTAGGAAGCCTGAGCCCCTCACTCAGGCTTTTTGAATTCCAGGGATCTTCTAGGTGATAAATGTTAGGCATTGCAATGCTGAGCGTCAAAAAGCCTAAGTTCTTTTGTGGATTTAGCCCTTAATGTCTAAACTGTCTCTATGGCTTTGATGCTGTATAATAGGGTGAGAGGGATGCTTCCAGCTTTCTTGACAGAAATTCCTTTATGGCAGAACATCTTCAAGGGTTATATCTCCATATTATTTCTAATTAAAATAAATAAAAATAATTCTTTGCATTTAGGGCCTGATCCAAAATACAGTGTAGTTAATAGAAAAATTCCCATTCACTTCAGGATATAAATTTAAAAAAATAAATAAATCCTATCTTCTAGAATTGGAAAGGTCATGGAGTCCAGCCCCCTGCCTTCACTAGCAGGACTAAGTACGGATTTTGCCCCAGACCCCTAAGTGGCCCCCTCAAGGATTGAACTCCCAACCCTAGGTTTAGCAGGCCACTGCTCAAACCACTGAGCTATCCCTTCTCCTACACACATAGGAGTTGTGAGTCCTAGTTTGGGTGGGTAGACAGATGCTAGCTCTGCTTCAGCTAACATGCTAAAAATAGCAGCGTGACCAGGGTTTAGCCACCCAAATATGTACCCAAGGTGTTGGATAGGATTGTACTTGGGTGGTTAGCCCAAGCTGCCTCCATAGCCACATTGTTATTTTTAGCATGTTAGCTCCAGCAGAGCTAATGTGTTTATGTCCCCCTGGGCTGGGAATCACACCTATCCGCTGCGCTGTAGACATACCCTCAGTGGGCTTTGGATCAGACCCTTATCTTCCGACCCATTCAAATAATGTTCGTCTCACAAATACCTATGTGAGATAGATATGTATCATTACCTTCTTTTTTTACAGATGAGAGAAATGAGACCGAGAGTACAGGAGGCTGGGGAAAGTAACATTACTTTACACAAGTTCCACCTCTATATCTGATCATTTCTCTTTTAAAATTGCATAATGAGAAAGGCATGATCTAGTGCTCTGAGCACCAGACTAGGAGATGGGAACTTAGTGTTCTAATCCTGGATCTAATGCTGAGACCTTGAGAAAGTCACTTAATCTTCCTGCCTTACTATGAGAATAATACTTCATAAGGGTGTTTGCAAGCATTAACTGATGTTTGTGAAATGTTTTGAAAACAAGTGTTATGTAAAGGAAGATTATTATTATCTATTATTCATACTCTGCTATGATTGTATCATATATAGCACCTCTGGTGGAAAAACGGGGTTTGATATGTAAAACGATATGGCAGAGTGTAGGGAGAATAACATTTCTGAACCACCAATTATCCACAACTGAAAGCGTCAGTTTTGTGCCTGTAGAGAAAAGTTATAACAGGGAGAATTGGGGTGTCTTACTGTGGAGATCATTTCTACAAAAACCATTGGAGTGCCGTGGTGTTTGTCCAAATGCAATTTAAAAGGTACCGCTGAAGCAAATGATCAGAATACATTAGATACACTAGTTCATCCTTGAGATAGTTTAATATACAGAAAAATAATTGACAATTAACAAGTCTTAACTAGCTTACCAACATCATTTCCCCACATCAGTTACTAATTTGTGTGAATTCTTTGACCTTAAAGTAATTACCTAATTATTAGACAAAGAGAAATTACATTAATAGCTTCTTCTATAACTACCAATACATGTGACTGCTAGTACAGTATATTTCAGCTAATGCTTCAGTATTCAACACTTCAGTTATTCTATTTGCTTAATATTGAATAGAACTTACTCTATATCTTGTAACCCAGTGTTCACAAGTGGACATTTAAACGGAACCCCTACTTTTAAATGTGAGTCTCTAATTACTGGTGCAGTGGATCCCCCTTTCATTAGTAAGTGCAAACAAAGCATGGGCTCAAATGACCAGCAAAGTAAAGGATCATTAGACTTAAAGGTCCAGATCCACAAAGGGACTGAAGTGCCTAAATCTCATTGTTAGGCACCACAAAATCCCCACTGTGCTGCCATCTAACTCTGTAGGTACCTAAACTCACTTGGCACCTAAACTTTTGCAGTAAAAATTCCCTAGACACCTATGGAATTCCCATTCTGCTTCTGGACATGTGCATTGCTGCCTCACGCTAGGCACCCAGGCACCTATCTCCCACCTCAGCCCCAGCATGATCCACAAACTGGAGGAAGATGGCAAAGGAGTCCCTATCTTGAATGTTTGGCTTGATCTGGTATGGTTGCTCAGAGGGCACCTAACTCCACACAACAGCTGGGGATGGGGGAGGAGGGGGAGTCCCTTATAATCTAGAGCCCAGTTGCTAGATAGTCTCCCAGACTTTGGGAAACCATGGTTCAATTCTCTCCTCTGTCTGATATAGAGAAGGGATTTGAACAAGGGTTCCCCACCTCTCAGGTGACTGCCCTTGACTATAGAGCGTTGCTCATTCTCTGGCCCAATTGATACTTAATTATTCAATCATTTAGTTGGAGAGATGGATAAAGACCATGAGCAGAACAACCCATAATCCAGTGACAACATCACAATACGCAAGTCCCTTTGTGGATTTGGGCCAAAGTCCTCTGATTTCTAAGGCCTCAGATTCCTCATGGAACTGGAATGTAGCTAGAGCAATTATTAATTATGGTCCAGATTCTCAACTATGACTAGTAGCTGCTGTTGCTCAATATGCTGGCTAACTATGGCCCCCCAGGACCTTTACACCACTCAAGAAAAGCCGGAGCTTATTATTCTGGTCACACTTCTAATGTGCCTTACACACTCCCTATGTTGGGGATTGCTGCCCTAACACAATGTCTATATGCTTGCTGCCTATGCCAGGAACTGTAATGGGGAGGCAGGGGATGCAAGAGCTGGCTATGCCAGTGGGGGTCTCCCCTACACCAGGGAAATACAAGGCTGGGGAGATGTAACTCCTTTTCATGCAACCAGAGCAGCACAAAGGATCTGGATTCCAGAGTAGAACCTCACCTTCTGAGTAATACTACTATTTGCCTCCTCCGAGTCAGAATACCTGTTCCAGATACAGGTGAATGATTTATGAATAAAGACAAACTAATCCCTTTGTAGTACTTTGTGGAAACTTGATTACACCCACAAACTTGTCTAACCACATCAGCTGCTGCAACTGTGCTGTATTGTTTTTTCAGTGTAGCTCTCTTGTGTCTTAAACATGGTGTTTTCCTCACAGATGCTCTCGTCCAGAGACATTTCTTGACTGACTATTCTTCTTCTTTGAGAGCTGGAGATTCCTTCTTGGAGTCTATTTTGCAGATGCAAGAGACAAAATACAAGAGAATCCTAGCTCACTGACTTCTATAAAAGCTGTACATCGGTACTTCTTGGGTGGAATGACCTAAGAGATGTCCCAATTTGTTAGCGCCATGCTTTTCTCTAAGAAAAATTGTTTTCTCTATCAGGATTTAGGGCATGTGAAATTTGTTCACAACTGGTGATGGTAATTCAGTAATTTGTTTTCCTGAAACTTACTCTTCAAATTTAAATTTGTAAGAGTTAAAACTGCATAAGGTCCTTTACATATCAGTAGTGTCAATACTTCTTTTTTTTTAGTCCATTTTCAAACTGCCCAAGGATTTTTATTAGTTTCTTGATCACAACTTTTTCAATTTCTTTGATTATTTTGGGTACTCAAGTTTGCGCAAAATGAATTTATCCCCAGATTTTCACATCACTGATTGAGCAATTTTCCTTTGTTTCCTGATATACTATAACATGTTTATAATCACACATTGTGATGGTCTATACTATTATGCTCACCACTTTTCCAAAGTGTGATTTTGTACAAAGTATGTCTTGTGAGATATCATTTGAAAACTCATAAAGTGCTGAATATTGTCCTCCTGGTAAAATGTGTATCTCAAAATTGTATGAGAAGTTATTAGATTCCACTATGAATCATTGTTATAACATGCTCCAAAGTTAAGACA